AATTATTTGGAGGCGCCTGACTCTGATTTCTCCCAGTCCCTGGGGTGAAAAGAGGGATGAGCTCTTCCCGGCATTCCAGCACAGAGACTTCCAAACCTCCCCGTCCCTCTTGGAAGCTCCAAGGCCATTCCCACCCTTTGGAAATGACTCATCTCAATTGTTCCCTGTGATCCATAGAGGCAAATCATGAATCCAGGCTTTGTTTTCCAGCCACGGATTTGCCAATGGATGTTTCTCCCCGCTGTTTTCGTTGGCAAAGAGGAACTGTAAATCCCTGGCTTATCCTGGGATTTCTTTTCCCCACTTTTCCGTATCCATCAAATCCTATTTGTCTTTATTTTCTTGGGACAGAAGCACAACCTCTGGAATCTGCTCCAAAGGGTGGAAAAAACAGGGATGAAGAGGCTTCTCCCTCCTCTGCTGGCCCCAGGAATTCCATCCTGTTAAAACACCCCAGCTCCATGATTTTTACAAACATGGGATTAGGCTGTTTCCTGGGAAAACCTCCAGGAGATCCCAACACTGAGGCTGGAGAATGGATGAATTTCATTCCCATGAGTTCTAGGAAGAAGGAAAAACAGGGGGAAAACGGCTGGATTTGGGAAAGGTGATGCTTCCCTGATTTGTTGGGCTGTAATTCCCATCCCTTCCTGGGATGCTGGACTTGGATGGGGCCTGGATGGAGGATCCAGGTGGTGAGGAGAGAGGGAAAAGTGGAAAAAGACCAGAAAAGAAGGGAAAGCAAAGGGAAATGGCACTGGGAGATGTTGAGATTGGATATTGGGAAGAATTCCTTCATGGAAAATGTTGCCAAGTGTGGAAATTCCTGATGTTCAACCCCTGAGACAAGGAATGCCAACAGGATGGAGCAGCCAAGGGCCAGGGAGTCTCCCTGGAATCATTCCAAATGGCAAAGAGGAGCACTCAGGGAATCCTAAAAGTTGGGAAAGATCTCCAAATCCAACCTTCAAAATCCTGTTTTCCGGGGAGGTTCAGATTCCCCATCCCTGGAAGTGTCCAAGGACAAGGCTTGGAGCAACCTGGGATAGGGGAAGGTTCTGGATGGGCTTTAAGGTCCATTCCATCCCAAACCATTCCATGATTTCCATTATTCAAGCCAATATCCCAAATACCCAGCGAACTTTTCCCAAAAGCCAGAATTCCATGGCCTGAGGTGGCTTGAAGATGAAGGATCATGGATCCCATGGAATGGGAGGAGCTTGCCTGAACTATTCCATGATTCTGGGGAAGTTTGGGAAGATGAAGGATCATGGAAAAGGTTCCAGCCTTGAAGGAAGATCCAGGCCCAATCCAACCACAGCTGCTGCTCCAGCTGGAATAAAACCCTGGATGCATCCAAAGCTTTTTCCTCTCTTTTTTTTAGAAGGGATAAAAATACCCAGCACAATTCAGGGATTGGTCCTTTGGGAAGGCTGGGATGGGAATGGGAAAAGCAAATTCAACTCATTTTCCTCTGGAAGCAGGTTTGGGATGGAGACAAACCTGGAGCAGTTTCATGGCTCATTTCTTGGGAGTCTCCCGCAGATCCTCACAAACCATCCCTCGATCCTGGGATTTGGGATTTTCTGGGATGAATCCTGACTGCAGCTGTCCCACAACACAGGGTTAGCCACGGAAAAAGCAGATTTCAGGAATTTCAGATTATTAATCCACCTTTAAATTCACCACCATCTTTTCCATGACTGCATTTTCCAGGGGGGGAAATTCCAGCACCAGGAATCACCATCGTGGAAAAGCCTGAAGGGGTCAGGCCTCAAGGCAAGGATGGAACAAGTTGTGCCACTCAAATCCTGGGAAATCTCCAGCTTCCCATCGGAAAACTCATGGATTTGGGAGCCAGGAGGCCACAAGGCTGTTTTTAGGGAACATCCCATTGGATCAGTGCTTCCATTGGATCCGTGTTCCTGGGAATGAGGGGGACCCACAGCTGGCCCCATCCACAGGGGTTAAACCAACAAATCCCACTCCCAAAAAATTTTATGGAAGCGCCTTGACCTGGATCTCACCTGTCACGTCCCTCTCCCTGTGCTGCCTCCCTCTTTTCCATGTGCTCCAGCAAAATCCACGTTTGTGGATGGAAAACTCTCCCTTCGGAGTGGATAAAACCAGGCACTGCCTGGAAAATTGTTCCTATTGGGGAGCAAAATCCATCCAGCTAATTCCTGGGGATTTTTGGGATGGATGCTGGAGATTTAGGGAGTTCAGCCCGAGTGGGGGATGGAAGTTTTTCAGTTCCAGCTGCCGGAGGGAATGGGAACACAACGGGGGTGTTGTGTGAGGATGGTCCCAAAGGAGCTGCCCCACTTCGGATTTCCAGGCTGGAATTATTCCTGGCATCAGTCTGAGGAAATCTGGGATCAGGGAAGGGCTCGAGGAGCAGAACGTTTGGCAATTAACTTCCATGCATGGGTAGGGAATCCTGGAATCATGGAATGGGTTGGGATGGAAAGGATTTTAGGATCATCCAATTCCCACCCCATCCATGGGCAGGGACACCTCCCACTGTCCCAGGGGGATCCAACCTGGCCTTGGACACTGCCAGGATCCAGGGGCAGCCACAGCAAATCTGGGAATTGCAGCCCAGGCAGGAATTCCTTCCCAAGATCCCAGCCCAATCTCCCCTTTCCCAGTGGGAGCCATTCCCTGGGTCCTGTCCCTCCAGGCCTTGTCCCCAATTCCAGCTCTCCTGGAGCCCCTGCAGGGACTCTGAGCATTCCCTGGAATTTTCCTTTCTCCACAATTCCGATTTTCCCATTCCCACTCCCAAGAGGAGCCGCAGTTCCATCCCCACAATCAAAACACCGGGAACGGGAATGTTTCAGAGCATTTCTTTGGGAATCACAGTGCTTTGGGCATTATTGCAGATAAGGCAGGCACGGGTGACCCAGAACAAATTCCAGCCAATTCCCTGGAGAACCGGAAGCCACAGGGAATCGTTTCTACAGCTCCCACCTGGATTTGGAGGAGACACAACCAGGCCCAGAGCTGGATGTGGCTGTTCAGGGGGGAAAAATGGGATGGAGTTGGTTTTTCCGGATGCTCCAACCTGAATTTACCCACAGGAATCCCACGAGATCCTCTTGGCATGAAAATTGCACTGGGATAACGGATTTCCTTCTGGAAATTCCTATCTTTATGGAATTGGATGCCCTGGATCCTTCTCTCCAATCCCTGCAGATCCAGGTTTGCCAGGGGAATGCTGGGAATAAAATTGGATTTCCTACTGGAAGTGTCTCTGGAGTGAATCCCAAACTTTCAAGCCCATCCCATTCCAGGCATTCCACAATTCCAGGTGGCTCCAGCCCTTATCCAAGCTCGCCTTGGGCATTCCAAAGGTAACCCATGAATGGATTTTGATTCCTTGTCTTTCTGGGATCAACAGCAGTGTTCCTGATGGGATGGGAGATGAGCGTCCCATGTTTGGCATTCCAACATGGATCACGCATCCATTTAGGGCTCTTGGCTCCAAGACTTTGGGTTGGGATCAGGGGGAATTACACCAGGATGGGAAAAACCCAGAATCTCTGCAAATCCAAGAGATACTGGACCTGAATTCCCACTGTGTTTTCCAGGAGAGCACTCAGGGAATTCCAGATTCCCTCTGGCACAGCTGGATCCTGGTGGAAAAGGTACCGGGACCAACATTCCCATACAACCCAAATTCTCAATCCCAGCAAGGGCCAAACAGAAGCAACTTTTGTCGTCGGCTCTTCAGGGATAATAAAACCTCTGGAAAATTGGAGCGGATCCTGGTGGTTTGATGGTGGCTATAAACTGGGATGGGGTTGGGAAGCTTTCAGGGAAAAAAAAACGAAGGAAAACGAAGCATTTAACGACGGAAAATGAAACCTCCACCCTGGGATGTGCAAATCCAGAGCCGATTCCTCCACTCCAACTTTTGGGAAAGGGCCATGGATCAGCCAAAGCTCAGCAGCAGGGATGGGCTTATAAATCCCTATAAATCCCTATAAATCCCAAAGCCGTGCATTTTCCGTGTGGAAAACACGGAGAAGGAGTTTCCCTGTGCAAACCAGGAGCTGCTCCGATGAGAATCCTGGGATTTAATCCCCCATGGATTACATCCCAACCCAACAAAGCAATTTTAAAGTTTTTCCCTATTTTTGAAGCACAGGCCAGAGCGGGGCAGGAGATGCCATCAGCGTTTTTTGCTGGGAAATTGATCCCTCGGGATCACTTTTCCCGGCTCCTTGCTCGTTCAGAGCAGCCACAGCTCCAAGGAAAACATGGAATCAAGGATAAGTCTCATCCTGCTGAAGGGAGGACGGGAAGATCCCAAATCAGCAAAGGCGCCGGTGCAGCTGGATATTAATGGGATTTTTCTGGTGGAAAAATGGGAGATGATTCCTTACGGGATGAGAATTTGAGGATTAGCACCCTCCCAGCACTGGGAAACCCTGGGAATCATGGAATTATGGATCCATCCAGGGTGGGAAAGACCTCTGAGCTCAAATCCAACCCTGCCAAGGTCACAAATCCCCAAGTGCCACATCCCATGGGATCATCCCACTCCAAGGACAGGAACAGGGAACAGCAAAAGCGGGAATGTCCCAGCATTCCCATCAGATCCATGGGAGGCTGATTCACAAATCACAGAATTTGGAAAACAAATCCCGTCCTGGGTCAGGATTTTCCTTCCATTAACGCCCTGCAGCGGCGAGTATGGGTTAGGATGTTTTCCATAAGAATCTTTGGGAATAGAAGGGAAAACTATGGATTTTAAAGGAATATCAGTGAGGCTCAGCCTGGAGAAAAGGAGGATCAGGAGGGACCTTCCAGCTCTGCACAACTCCCTAAAAATTTGGAGTCAGGTGGGAGCTGGGATCTGCTCCCAGGGAATAACAGGAAAAGAAGGAAGGGCCTCAGGTTGTCCCAGGAGATGCTCTGGTTGGGCACCAGCAGGAATTTCCTCATGGAAAGGGTGGTCAGGGATTGGCATTGCCCAGGGAGGTTTGGAATCCCCATCCCTGGAGATTTCCAAGGAATTCCTGGATGTGGCACTCAGTGCCAAGGCGGGCATCGGGCACAGCTCGGACTCAATGATCCCAAAGGTTTTTTCCAACCTCAGTGATCCTGGGATTCTGCAAATACTGACACTAAAAAGACCAAGGATTCCCAAAAAAAGCAGCAGAGAGACAGCAGGAGAGGAGGAAATCAAAGCCCAGCTGCTCCTGGGATTCCTCTCCCAGTTGGAATGGGAGACCTGTGGGGTTGTGGAGCAGTTCCAAGGGAAAACCAACTCCAGAAATCCATGATGGAATGCCAAGGCCTCAAAATCCAAAGGAAACTGCAATTTCGCAGAGCACCAACTCCAAATCCCAGGTTTTGCACCACAGCCGTTCCCATTCCCGTGATTTCAGCTTTGGGAATGCGATGTGTCATCCCAGGGATTCCGGTTTTCCAACACGTTTTTCCGTAGGTTTACAATATAGAAATGGGATAATACAGGGAAAAGGGAAACTGAGGCTGGATCAGAGTGCAAGAAGTGCTCAGAATCCGTGGGATTTGCTCAGGCCGGCAGATCCCAAATCCTGCCCTGAGGATCCTCCACACATTCCCAACTCATGGATGGAAAGATCCTTTCCCCTCTCCCTCCTCGGATTTCCACTGGAATTTGGGATTTACCAACCAGAGCAGCAGGAAAACTCAAACAAAACAGAGAAAGGCTGGAAAATCAGGAATATTTTGGTGGAGGCTTTGGTTGGGTTCCACTTCCCAGGTGGAATTCCAAAGGGAAGCGGAGTCTTTGGCAGCAGCTGGAGGCCTGGATGAGGTTGTTCCTTCTCCACTTCCAGAGGCAAAATTCCTTCCCAAAATTCCCAGGCAGGCACAGGAACAGCTTCAGTTGAAAGGTTTCACCAGTTTCATAGCAGCGTAGTTCTGGAAGGATGGAAAAACATGGGAATCGTTGGAAAAATGAGGGAATCACTGGAAGAATAAGGGAATCATTGGAAAAATAAGGGAATTACTGGAAAAACATGGGAATCGTTGGAAAAATGAGGAAAGTCATTGGAAAAATAAAGGAATCATTGGAAAAATGAGAGAATCACTGGAAGAATAAAGAAATAATTGGAAAAATAAGGGAAATCATTGGAAAAACGAGGGAATCATTGATAAAATAAGGGGATTATTGGAAAACAGGAATCGTTGGAAAAACAAAGGAATTGCTGGAAAAATTAGAGAATAATTGGAAGAATAAGGGAATCATTGGGAGAACAAAGGAATCATTGGAAAAATGAGACAATCACTGGAAGAATAAGGAAATGATTGGAAAAACATGGGAATCATTGGAAAAAAGGGAAATCATTGGGAAAATGAGGGAAATCATTGAATAAGAGAATGATTGGAAAAATGAGAGAATCATTGGAAGAATGAGGGAATCACTGGAAAAATAAGGGAATTTTTTGGGAGAATTTAACAAGCCCTGGGCATCATTCCTGGATTTTGATTTCCCTTCCCAAAACTTTTCAAGAGAAATTCCCACCTCTTCAAACCCTTGGAATTAATTTGGCCCCTTCCTCCAGCACCATCCCAGTGTCCAACCACTGGGAAACATTCCCAGTTTTCCCTGATTTGCTGGAGCCTCCTCCTCTCCTCTGGATCCCGCTGTTCCTTCCCATCCTCTGGGATTCCCACAAATCTCATGGATTCACCACCGAACCCCAGGCCTTGTATCCCTACAGCTCCTTTTTCCGTGACCCCACAAAATCTGGGACATCACCTGTTCTGTCCCTTTGGAAACAGGTCCTGGAGCATTCCTGAAGCTGTGCCAGGGTTTTTCTGGAATGCAGAGCCTTCCAGCAGGAGGAGGCTCCTCCAGCCCTGCCTCATCCTCATTTATTCCAAAGACAAATCCAGCCGGCAGCTCCACGGAATTTTGTCAAAGGCAATCAAAGCTATCCCAGATTATTTCCCTCTGCATCCCAGAAAACCTCAGGATCTGTCCTAGTGCCAGCACTTTGTGTTGCTGAGGACACTCCAGGAATGACCTCTCCATGTTTTTTTGGGATCTCCACCATTCCTGATATCATGGAATTGTTGAGGTTGGTAAAGAGTCCCAATCCTTGTTCATCATTATCCATGTCCTCAAACGCCACATCCGAATTTTTTTTTAATAATTCCATGGATGGGGACTCCACCACTGCTCCAGGGCTGGACACCCCTTTCCATGAGGGATTTTCCTTAATATCCAACCTAAAATTCCCTTGGAACAACTTGAGGCTGTTCCCTCTTGCCCTGTTGTTCACTGGGAACAGATCCCAAATCCCACCTGGCTCCAAATTTTCAGGGAATTGTGAAGAGCCAGAAGGCCCCCTCTGATCCTGCTTTTCTCTGGGATGAGCCCCTTTTCCAGCTCCCTCAGCTTTCCCTGGTGTTCCAGCCCCCTCCCAGCTCCATTCCCATCCCTGGACACGCTCCAGCCCCTCCACACTTTTCCCCATGAGGATCCCAAACCCCCCCCAAAAAAAAGTCCCTTTTTAACCCATTGTGCTCCTCAGCACAGAATTTTCCATCCCCCTGAATCCACGACCCCTCAGACCTTGGCCAATCCCCATCCTCCTCTCCCAGCCCCTCCGTACCGGGAAGGCGTAGACGAAGATTCCCAGGAAAAGCAGCAGGATGAAGAGGAGGATGGCCAGGATCAGCACCCACTTGTAGCGGCGCCACAGGATGAACTTCAGGGTCTTGTACGGGGACGTGAACCACAGGAAGGAGGTCTCGGGACGCCTGGAGCCACGGGAAGGGGAGGTCACCTCGGAATTTCATCCCCCTGGATCCCCAATCCCATCCATCTCAGTGGTCCAGAGCAGCCTCAAAATCCCTCTGGATTCATGGTCCAGAGCAGTTTCCCAATCCCACTGGAATGTGTCAGCTCCTCCCTCTGGGGATGTCCCACCAATATCTTCCTTGGTGCTCCAGACCAACCTTCCAATCCCACTGGATTCATGGTCCAGACCAGCCTCCCAAATCCCAAAGGATTCATGGTCCAGACCAATCTCCCAAATCCCACTGGATTGGTGCTCCAGACCAGTTTCCCAATCCTACTGGAATGTGTCAGCTCCTCCATCCCTCTGGGGATGTCCCACCAACATCCTCCCAACATCTTTCTTGGCGCTCCAGACCAACCTCCCAATCCCACTGGATTGGTGCTCCAGACCAATCTCCCAATCCCAATGGATGGGTGGCCAAGACCAGCTTCCAAATCCCAAAGGATTCATGGTCCAGACTAATCTCCCAAATCCCACTGGACTGTTGATCCAGACCAGTTTCCCAATCCCTCTGGATTCATGGTCCAGAGCAGCTTCCCAATCCCACTGGATTGGTGCTCCAGACCAACCTCCCAATCCCACTGGATTGGTGATCCAGACCAACCTCCCAATCCCAGTGGATTGCTGTTCCAGAGCACCATCCCAATTTCCCTGGACCATCTCCATTCCTCCACCAGTTCCTAGTGGATCCTACCCAGGTGCAAACCCAGTTCAGCCCAGTTCCCTCCAGCTGGAAACCCAGAATTCCCATTTGGACCTCGAGAATTCCATGCCCTGGTTGTTGCTTTTCCGTTCAGGATGTTCTTACTTGGGATCCTCCAGCCTGGGGTTCATGTTTGGCTCATCCCGTCCCATCCCAGCCGGACGCTCCTCGTGTTCCTGTTCCGCCACGATTTCCAAAGTCATCTCCAGTTTGCCCTGGATGGGTTAAACAAAAACTGATGTATTATCCCAAAAAACAGAGGGAAAGGTGAGGAATGAACGTGGGATGGAAAACAAGGATCTGGGAGAGAAAATGTCCTTTGAGCAGAACCAAACCACTCCTAGCAACGACCACGAGCATCCCAGGATTCCAGAGATCCCTCACCTGTCACTGGAGATATTCCAGGAAATCCCAGATCCCACTGGCACCTTAATTTGGGCAAACACAGAATCCCAGGATCGCTGAGGCTGAAAAAACCTCTGGGATCAACTCCAAACTGTGACTGATCATCACTGAGTGCCACATCCCATCTTTCCTGATTTCCTGATTCCCGATTTCCCTGGAACCAGCTCAGGATTTTTTGGTTTTGATTTTTATGACCCAATTCCCCTGCCTGGATTCCCTCACCTGCATGGAACAGTCACTAACTAAAACCTGGAACAGGAGCCCACACACCTGGGACAGCTGGAATTTTTTCCTGGTGTTTAGGACACAAGATTGTTGGGAATAGCCGTGATACGGAATCAAATTTGGAGGCACATTCCAAAAACCACAATGAAAATCCCACAAAACCTGCACCGTGCCGGAAAACTTCCAGCCAACCACAGATCCACAAAATTTCCCACTGGAAATGGAATTTCTTGCCCTGGCTAGAATTGACCAAAGCTTTCAGGGAATTCTGGAGCGGATTGGATTGGGCAGGAATTTAAAGCCCATCCAGCCCCAGCTCATGACATGGGCAGGGAAACTTCCGCTATCCCAGGGCGCTCCAATCCTCATCCAACCTGTCCTTGGACTTTTCCAGGATGGGAATTGGAGTGAAGGATCCAAGGGAAAACATGGAGAGGCCACTTTACCGCCAGGATCTTCTGCTGGTCCTGCTCGGCCACACAGGGCCACCAGCCCTTGACGGTTTTTTGCTCAAAGAGGGACACGGAGCGGCCGGAGGACAGGGAATCATCCACAAGATCCAAGGAACATTTTTCCGCCGTCTTGGCAGGCTTGGGCATCCTGTTGAGATCCATCTGGATGGATCCTGTGAGGATGAATATTCCAGGTGAGACATCTCCCTTGGGAGAATCTTTAAAATGTGGAATGTTCCCAGATCCCACAATGGAGTTTGGGCCATCCCAATCATCCCAATCCAAACTCCCAATTTCCACTATCCCAGGTTGCTCCAAGTCCCATCCAGCCTGGCCCTGGACGCTTCCAGGGATTTGGCATCCACAGCTTCTCCGGACAACCTCTGCCAGTGATGTTTCCCCTTTTTTGGGATGGATCCCAAAATTCCCAACTTACCCAAATAGTCATCGAAGGAGAACTTGTCGTTGTCCCAGATCTGGAGGATCAGCTGGGGTGGGATCTTGTTTTCCGTCTTGTCCAAGCTCCAGAAGTGTTCCTAAAATCCCACAGGGAAAGAAACCACGGGAAAATGAAAGATTTGTCAGGAGAATCAGGCAGAGTCTGGCTCTGGAAATCCTGGAATTCCTGGGGTGTCCTGCTCTGGATCTGCAGGAGAACAGGCTCTGGAAAACTCTTGGATAAGGATAATCAGTGGGAAACTCAGGATGCTTCTGGAAGGTGCTGGCAACAACTTATGCCTCAATTTAATGATTTTAATTAATGCAATTAATTTTATTTAAATAATTTAATTTAATTTAGTTTAGGAAAAGGCTCCATGGCATCCCAAACAGGATCCTTAGGAGTGACAGGAATTCCCACAACTCCAATGAAGGCAACTCTCCAAGGAAAAGAGAGCAACAAACGTTGAGTGCCGGCGCTGCCAGACTTTGCCTTCCTCTTAATTCAGGGAAAAATATGGGATTGACACTTAAAGCAGCACTTCCAGCAGGGATTTCCCAAAGATCCCTTCCCTTCCAGATCCAACATGGCTCCAATCTGCTCCCAGGTTTGTGGGACAATCAGAGACCATCAAATGCCAGTTCAGGCCACCCGTGGCTCCTGAATTTATTCATGGAACATTGATCTGGAAAGGAAGATTCCATGGTATCCCAGGAATCTGCTGATGTCACACACAGGCTGATCCAAGCCTCAGTGTCCAAGGACACTGCCAGGGATCCAGGGGCAGCCACAGCAAATCTGGGAATTGCAGCCCAGGCAGGAATTCCTTCCCAAGATCCCA